TTTTTTTTCACCCGAGATAGTCAAAGTTGGGGAAGAAAATATCAAAAAGTTAAAAATCCAGAAATAGTCCTAATTTTATGATGGTTCCTTAATATATTTTAACTACATTGCATTTGAGTATGGAGAGGCAACTATCTGGAAGTATTTTACATAAAAAATTTACTAAGTATTGGGCGGTTTGTAGTTGCAGTTAAAGAAAACACATGAAAAGGCACGATTTTTTTTAAATTCGAAAAAATGTAAATATTTCAAACACGGTGACACTTTTACCTAAAAATTTTTTGTTTATCAGGGAGCTCACCCCCCCACCTACCTTCCCCTAAAGTTTGGCACGTTACTTCTGGGACACCCTGTATATATATATATATATTCATATATATATATATGAAAATGTGATATAATTCATATGAAGAAAGTAATATTCACAAAATATGTTTGCTTAGTCTAACAAAATGTAGAGAAAGCGTCGTCTTTAATAACTGCTCCGCAAATCGGACATAGCGCTTTTGTATGAATTTTGTCTGTGTGCTTTCTAATATGTTGAAAATATTGCTGGAAAACCTTAAAATATTTGCACGAACGCAGCATATAACACAAAGAATATTGTTTTGAGTTTTATCTTCAGTTAAAATTTCTGCATTATTATCACTTGCTTTACTATTTTCGAACTGCGGATTTCGTTTACGAAGACGAAGGGAACGTGTGGTACGAAATAGTTATATAAAAATATATAAAATTTTACCTAGTCTTAGACTTCTAAATTTGAACGTATACTCGGTACAATCAGGTGGGATGAATGACGCAATAAACAGGTGAAGTAATAGCTTTTTCGCTTTATTTTCTAACATTCGGCTGCCTTAAAGTCACATTTTATAGGCAAATTTTCAAAGAAGGCAGCGTCAAGATCTTTCTTCTCATTCTAAAATTACTTCACCGGGTATAATTCCGCCATGGGTGGGGTGCATGCAATAACACCATACGCAATAATTCCCATTACTTAGACATTAAAAAGCAGTTTCAGAAGTGAACTAGTGTCATTTTATTATTATTATTTTTTTCTAAATGGTTATAATGCCACCAGTGCATAATTGCGAAAGGAGGACAGGGGCGGGGGACGCGAGCGCGACGTCGAACGCAGTGCGGCGCGACGCTGGACACTTTCAAAATTGTATACTTACAAATCCGTCCATTTATCTTGTTCATGTACTACTTTTTGTCAAATGTAACTAGGTGACTACCTACGTGCACTATTTTGCTTTATTACTCAAGTGTTAAGTTTAAAAGTTGGTCTTATTGCTCAACGAGAAATGAAATAAAGCAAATTTGTGTTATTTCACATTCAATTGGGAAATAACAAAAATTTTCGTTATTGCCGTTTGTGTTATTCTCGGTTGAGACCCCCCTTATGATGACGACCACGGCAAACGTTTAAAGGACTACGAGGGCATGCACCTGGAATGTCCGGACCCTTAATGGGGAAGGTGCCTCTGCTCGGCTGGTTCAAGTCCTCGTAAGGACAAAAGCTGACATCACCGCCATCCAAGAAATGCATTGGACGGGGCAAGGCAAGCAATGTCTGGGGCCTTGCGACGTCTACTACAGCTGCCCTGTAAATGAGCGCAAATTCAGATTTGGATTTGTGGTGGGAGAGAGACTCCGTCGCCGAGTACTGTCGTTCACCCCGGTGGACGAGCGTCTAGCCATAATCCGCATCAAAGCGAGATTCTTCAACATCTCGCTTGTCTGCGCCAATGCCCCGACGGAAGAGAAGGATGAGGCATCCAAGGATCTCTTCTTTGAGCGCTTGGAGCGCACGTACGAGCGCTGCCCCCGTCATGATATCAAAATCGTGCTTGGCGACTTCAATGCCAGGGTGGGCAGGGAAGGGATCTTTGGAACCACCGTCGGAAAATTTAGCCTCCACGACGAAACGTCCGACAACGGATTGAGGCTGATCGACTTCGCCGGGGCCCGAAACATGGTAGTATGCAGTACTAGGTTCAAGCATAAAAAGATCCATCAAGCTACGTGGCTGTCTCCGGATCGAAAAACGAGAAACCAAATCGATCATGT